TAGTAACAAGTGCCTTACTAGTAGTAACAAGAAGCTACTAGTAACAACTTCAAAGAGTTCGAGTTCGAGTTCGACGGTTCAAAGAGTAAATGGCACCAGCGGACCTCCCCCAAACGAGGAGGCTTAAATTGGTCTGAGGGGGCACAGGTCTTCGCACGTCCGGTGCTCCTCCACCAGTGAGGATGATCACCAGAGCCGCCTCCAGTGCCCACAATCAGCTTCCAGGGCCCCTCGCGTAAGGCGGGGCCATGGTGGCCCACCTGAAGCAATTCGAGAGTGCCTCTGCACAGCCTCAAAATGAAAAAACACAATTACCAAATAACAATCACACTCAATCTGAGAGTGGAATCGGTGGTGTGATTTGGACCGACCTCGAAAGGATTCCTTCATGTTGGATTCTCCTTCGTTGGATGTCTAAAGGTGAGTGCTGAAGGCATCGATAGCATTCTCACCGGACACCGACGCACCTGGGAGTCGGCCAGGCCATAGTAGAGCTCCTGTCGGGGCGAAGACCGGTTTCCTGGAGCGGGTGCAGCGGGCACGGCCTGGATGGCCATCACTTCACACAGAGCAACCAGGACTAGATTGAGGACTTGTTGGTGGACCACCTGCCGGTAGTACGGGTCAACAGTGTGGAACCCATCCTGGCCCAGGTGTTGATTCAAAACACGTGCCTCAAATGGACAGGCCAGTCAAGCAGCTCAGCTTCCAACTGTGCACCAACCTATCTGTCAGATCTTCGAGTTTATCAAACTCCTACCGAGAGAAGGCCTCAAGGAGATCCACCACCTTGGATGCTGGCCTCTTCGAAAAACATGCAACATTGTGGGGCATTCATTCTACATGTCAGGTTCTGCTGGATCTCCGCCTACTTGGCTTTCACGGGTGTTCGGAATCGCCAGCACAATCCAAGTCTCCAATCAGCTGTGGCCAAACCTGAAGTTTTGCGGAGTGAAGTTCCAAGCCTGTAGTCCAAACATGTCTAACACCCAAAGGGTTCTGGAGCCTTTGCTGGCCAAATGCTGAGACCATAGCCCACTGTGAAACCCAAATCTCAATAATCTCAATCCTGCATTTACGGCATTCATTGGCCTCAGGATTTGGGGCCCAAATCTCGCCATCCGCGCGGGCTGGCCGGTCTTCGGTGATCTCTCGAAAAGGAAAGCGCCACGGTCTTCCAGTGAACCAAACATGGTCCTAGTGGCTTCTTGTTACTAGTAGTAAGAATGCCCCTAGTAGCGATGCCAGGAGCCCCTAGTAGCGTCCTTGCTCCTAGTAGTAAGGCCAGGAGCCCCGTTCGTAGCTTCCCAAAAGACTCAACGAGTCCCCATCTGGCCCCCCCATTGACATGGCCACATTTGGAGTCATTCATCCCACCCGTCTGATCCGCTACTGGCTGGCCTGAGGCAACTTATGGACACAAGCATGTTTCAAGAAAGATGTTTTCAGTATGGTCTTAGTGTGAGATAGTGCGAGTTAAGGGAAGTTAATATTGCGCACAAATCACAAACCCTCACCTTCCAAAGGGGTGTTCCCTTGCACAGGTTGCTGCCAACGAACGTTCATGCCATCTAAAGGCTTGGTGGCCCAAATCCTGGCACAAGTCTGTCTACAGGCAGTGGGGACCTCGTGAGTGGAACACGTGGGCCTGATGTTGCCAGGGGTGAACACTCAATCCATGTAGAGTCCATACACCACGTCATGGCCGTAATTGGCCAGAAAACCAGTGCGGCGAAGGACGAAAGGCAAAAAGGTCGATGGGGTCCATCGTCCAAAGAACTCTTCACCGACCCCATCGATCCACATAGGCTCTCCTTTCATCTGCCACCCCTTCCACCAGGGTTGGCAACCAGTCAGCGCCGTGCATCAAACCCTGCCAGGTGAAGCTTCGCTCAACGTATCCTGGGCGAAGGGATGTGAATGGGCCGAATTCTAAGATCACCGAAGATGGCCGAAACTTCAAACTGCCAAACAGGATCAAACCAAAAGGATCAAGGATCAAACTTCAAACCTTTGTTGACAAACCAAAGGGACAAACAAAAGGTGCGGTCTGCTGCAAAACCCAGCCGTCCTGGCGCGAAAAGCAAGGAGGTACCGCGCGTACCTCCTTCCCAAAGCGAGCATTTGCCACCTGAATCGCATGAAAAAGATGCAGCCGCGTTCGGGTCTGTTCTGCCATCTTGGAATGGCATCACCATGTCTCACACCGCCACGCCCAGCATCCGAGCGAACATTTTGAGCCTATTCCTATGATCTTCACATATCTTCACCATCTTCCATTTCTTCATCCATCTCTGAAGCATCAAAGACCTGCTGCCGGACATATGCCCAGGCTTTCCCACGCTATGCCATCCCTAGCTCAGCTTGCCCGGACGGACGCCTCGCGGCCGCGCGTCCGCGCCGTCTGCCGGGCTCTGCCTCGCAAGGGCAGGTTCGAAGCGCCGATGCCAGCGCAGTCCACGATGGGGCCGCCATTGTCCGTGGTGACGATGACCACCTCACAAGGCCCACGCGAGGCGAGGCGCGTTGTCGCGAGGCCCATGAGACGGGACGCAAAAAGGTTCAGATATTGGACGAGGACGCCTACTAGTTACGATGCCAGGAGCGCCCCGTTCGTAGCGTCCGATCGCTCCGTTCGTAGCGATGCCCTTTGTTCCGTTCGTAGCGTCCTCTTGTTACTGCGATTGGACGGGGTCCATGAGTTGGTACCAAACGTATCGGCCGCTACGAACGGAGCATTTTGGGCATCGCTACGAATGGAGCAAGGACGCTACTAAGTAGCCTCCTGGCCTTACTGTTACTATAAAGCAAGAATTCAACAACAAAGATGGTGTCGACTACTAATTGAGTTGGTACCAAATGTATAACTAGTTGTTGAAACGCTCGCGGTGCCTCAAATGGACCATTGATACATTGCAGTGCGCCCATTCCTCTGCTGCCCCCCCAATGCCCAGCAAACACCAAACCACAACTCCCCAACCCCAACGTACGCACCACGGCACCACGGCACCCACCACGAACGCGCTGTCCGCGCCAAAACCCACAGATATCAAAACACACCGTTTCAACCTGACGCCCCAGGCGCCGCATCGGCCAACATCCCCTTCTCCTGGAGCTTCCGCGTGATGTTGCCGATGCCCTCGTCCACCGCGGAGACCATGCCGGCGAACTCCCGACGTTTGAGGTCTGGGATGCGATGGACGTAGGGCTCCACCTGGGCGGGTTTGGGGGGTGCATCTCACTTGATTCAGTGGGACCATGTGGAACCTAACGGTGGAACATCACAGAGCTGAAACACATACGGGCTCAATCAACAGGGCGCAAGTGAACCCGCGGCCTCGCAGCGCCGTGGCGCTGCATCTTGGATGGTCCTGGTGCTCAGGCCAGGCCGGCCAGGCATCCGGATTGAGACTCCAGGCGCACGCTCCCGTCGGCCGGGAGATGTTCCTCACGGCGCCAGTGGAGGGCAAAGCCCAGGGTTTCCCACTCCCTGGGCACGAGTGCGCCGCCACTTGACCTCCTTTGACCGATGTGGCCGGCGGCCAGTCCAAAAGAGTACAGGCCTCAGCTCAACTGGCTGAGTGCGAGTCCGAACCAGTATTTTACAGCAGCTGCGAGGACCGGAAAGAGCAGGCAAGCGTGCGTCGTTTTGGAGACCGGAAAACAAAGAACATGAGCGATTCTGAGCGAAGCTCTTGAGGCGCCTATTCTGTGTGAACGCTCCATTTGTAGATGCGTGCGTCTCGGGGGGAGTTGCGGGAGTGCGAACCGCAACGACGCTGAGTCAGCAGTGGCCTGCTGTCAGTCAAGGCAGATCGACCCTCACCTAAAAGCCCAGCTGTCTGAGCAAAGTGCTTGGAGATGGAGTGACCGCTTTCGTGGCGAGGCTCGAGAGCCTCCTCACTTGAGCTTCCATGGGTGCTGCCCCATGTCACGGATTTGCGACACCAAAATGAAGAGTTTCAACCAGGCAGACTTGGGAGGCGACTTGGTGGCTGCCACGAAAGGGGTGAGGGAGGTTAATTTTCACCAGTTTATTTCCAGTCTACGTCGACGACATCATGGCGGTGGGTCCTATGTGTGCCTGTGTGCCGTGAAAAGTGTTGCCGATGAAGTCCAAGGCCGCTCATCCACTTCAACGACCAACGGTTGAATCCTCCTCTCAGGTTGCGGACGCCCAGCAACCAACCAGCGCCAATTCCAGGCCCCACATGCCTAACCGTTGCAAGTTCTTCGGCCGGGCGATGAACACTGAGGCCCCGTAAGCGACCAAGCTGGATGTGAGCTTTGTCTTTTGTGGCGAGGATGTCCCGAAGCTCCTCAGAAAGCGGCCTTCACATGTAGAGCTAGCTGTGCGTCCACAGGCTCCTCCATTCATTTCTCTAGCTTCGTTGGCTAGCGTCGAGAAATCCCTCCTCTCCTCCTCTTATCTCCTCCCTCTCCTGCTCTTGACTAAGCAATTTCACGTGTCTAGTTATATAGCAACTCACAAACACAAACACACACACACACACTTACTTCAGTCGCCCTAATTAAAACAGGGCCATGAATATTAATTAATGTTTTGTGGTTCTTGTCTGGAGGGACAGCCGGGGTGCAATCTGCAAAACATTCAGTTCTGGAAACAGAAAAGCAATGTGACCCCATGTATGATGCTATTCGGTGCCTTTTCAAGATGCTTTTGGACAATGCCAGTGATTTGATCAACTTGTTGGAAAGCTCCAACATCTCCCAACCCACTAACTAGCAGCTAGCAGTGCCAGCAAAGCGACATAGTGCTGTGGAACCTGTCTGGGGTCATGGACACCTTGCCAGGCTTGGTAGAGGAACAGCGGCTCCTTAGCATTAAGACATCGCAGTGCCCAGACAGGGCTGAAATCATTGAAAAAAATAAAAACAAAAAATAATCAAACAATAATCAACTCAAGAACTCAAATCCAAAACAGACTCAACAACAAAACTCAAAATAACTCAAGAACAACTCAAATTAAAAAACTCAAGAAACATAGGAGGAAAACAAAAACAAATCACATCTCCAAACAAAATCAACAGCAAGCGAAGGAATACTGCATGCTATTTATATCTAAATACATAATTATATATATGTATATATTAATTTTTATATTCTATATAGACCGCATCGGCAGCGTGGTCGCGGAATCGTTCTGAAGATTGGAAGCTCTGAAGCTCCGCGTCTTCGCTTTGGCTTTGAAACTCTTGAAGCTCTGAAGCTCCGCGTCTTCGGTGGAGCTGTGAAGCTTCTGAAGCTTCTGAAGCTCCTGAAGCTGTGAAGCTCCGCGTCTTCGTTTTTGAAGCTTTGAAGCTCTGAAGCTCC